CCAAAAGAGCCCCGAGAGCGGAAAAAGTGGCAGACGATAGGCAATCAGTTCGCGGACGAAATGACTGAAACAAACCCATTCTGTGCAGGGCGTTCTGTATTTAAGCGGTGCCTGCTACGAAACTTTCAAAAATTCGTAGTTGCGTTCCAAAAAAGCTGGGAGAGTGGGAGAAGTGGCAAACGATAGGCAATCAGTTGGCGGACGGAATTAATGAAGCACACCCGTGATGGGCGGAGCGTTCGCCGAAGTGGGCGATCCCGAGGACGAAAACCCTCAAAACGCATCCGAAAAAAACCCCGAAATGGGGAGTGAGCTGAAACTAAACAGTGGTATGGCAGATGAACGTAGTGAGGGGATAGTCGGGGATAATCGTAGGGAGTATCCCAAATGGTTGGTACCGTCGGCAATACTTCATAATTCGGTTCCCAAACATACAAGTGTAGCTAATCGCAGTGAACGGGATATGTGCCACAGTGAATGGGAGTGAAAATCAAGGGTTCGTAAATCAGTATTTTATTTATTTGTTTAATTACCTACTATTTACTGCACAACAATTTAGGCAAATGCATATTCCTACTTTTGTCCATCCTCAAATCATTCAATACCGACAGAAAACATTTACTATACAGTAGTTTCACAGTTGTTTACCATTGGGAGGGTACTTGCTGATCTCTATCCTACTATATATAAACGGCGACGTCTGTCTGTCTGTCTGTCTGTCTGTCTGTCTGTTTGTCTGTCTGTCCGGAAATTCGGAACTACCTGAAGAGCCAGTCTCAGGGGGCGGGTCAAGGTTGGGATGGGTAGGGCATGGGCCAAGATGTACGAAACACACGTGAACTAGGCTAAGCCCCGCCCACTGTGGGCGGCGCGTGCGCATAGTTGTGAGCTTCATATTTCAAAAATTCGTAGTTCGGTTCCAAAAAAGCCCCGAGAGCGAAGAAAAGTGGCAAACGATAGGCAATTAGTCCGTGGACGAAATGACTGAAACAAACCATTTTGGGCGGGGCGTTCTACAGATGGGCGGTGCTTGCTTCGAGATTTTCAAAAATTCCCAGTTCGGTTCCAAAAGAGCCCCGAGAGCGGAAAAAGTGGCAAACGATAGGCAATCAGTTCGCGGACGAAATGACTGAAACAAACCCATTCTGTGCAGGGCGTTCTGTATTTAAGCGGTGCCTGCTACGAAACTTTCAAAAATTCGTAGTTGCGTTCCAAAAAAGCTGGGAGAGTGGGAGAAGTGGCAAACGATAGGCAATCAGTTGGCGGACGGAATTAATGAAGCACACCCGTGATGGGCGGAGCGTTCGCCGAAGTGGGCGATCCCGAGGACGAAAACCCTCAAAACGCATCCGAAAAAAACCCCGAAATGGGGAGTGAGCTGAAACTAAACAGTGGTATGGCAGATGAACATAGTGAGGGGATAATCGTAGGGAGTATCCAAATGGTTGGTACCGTCGGCAATAGTTTGCAGTGCCGCATAGAAAATTTTGATGGCTGTCTACTAGGGGGGTATATACTAGAAGTGAAACGGTAAAGTGCGGTAATTCTCAAAATAATATTTCTTTCGACCATTCGTCCGACTGGCCCTCCCTCACATGGAAAACTTCTCACAGGGACCCACTTCACACGCGGAAGGAGGATCGGCCGGCGAAGCCGGCCGATCCGACTGGCCCTCCCTCACATGGAAAACTTCTCACAGGGACCCACTTCACACGCGGAAGGAGGATCGGCCGGCGAAGCCGGCCGATCCGACTGGCCCTCCCTCACATGGAAAACTTCTCACAGGGACCCACTTCACACGCGGAAGGAGGATCGGCCGGCGAAGCCGGCCGGCCGATCCGACTGGCCCTCCCTCACATGGAAAACTTCTCACAGGGACCCACTTCACACGCGGAAGGAGGATCGGCCGGCGAAGCCGGCCGATCCGACTGGCCCTCCCTCACATGGAAAACTTCTCACAGGGACCCACTTCACACGCGGAAGGAGGATCGGCCGGCGAAGCCTTCCCGGAATCCGACTGGCCCTCCCTCACATGGAAAACTTCTCACAGGGACCCACTTCACACGCGGAAGGAGGATCGGCCGGCGAAGCCGATCCGACTGGCCCTCCCTCACATGGAAAACTTCTCACAGGGACCCACTTCACACGCGGAAGGAGGATCGGCCGGCGAAGCCGGCCGATCCGACTGGCCCTCACATGGAAAACTTCTCACAGGGACCCACTTCACACGCGGAAGGAGGATCGGCCGGCGAAGCCGGCCGATCCGACTGGTGTTTAATAAACCAAGTATAAAGTTATTTATTCCATATCTCGTTATTCTGTCTTGAGTGAGCCTGGCAGTGAGAGGTCACCAGTCAGCGTAAGCAATTAAGCGGGGGTATCCCACTGGCAAGTATGCCGAGGTGCGAAAAAGTAATTATAAGGTCATCTCAAACTATATGCGCACACCCGGTTGACTGCTGTCGTTTAGGTACAGCCGAGTCTTGCCGCAAGATTGCGGGTGGTAGCTCCGGATCCCTCTTGACAGCTTCGAGAACGATGGAGTCTTCCACTTTGTGGGGCCGTCCCAACCTTCGGGGATCGTGCCTCCTTTCGCAAAGCCAGTGGTGGACAGTCCTGATGGTAGTGGTCTCCTTCCACAAAAAAAACTGACACTGTAATGAAACTGACACTGTAATCAGACCCGGGGAAGACCTTCTAGAAACATAGCATGTTACGTCATGTTCGAGCATCGAGAATCAAAAACTGTAAGCTTTTCAAAAAACACTGACAGGACTTTCTTTCCAACCTATTATTTCTTTTAAACACAGGGTCTTTTGGTGCCAAATTGAGTGTTGGCTCGAAGACTAACATAACGGGGCTGTTCTAGCGCAATAAGACGACAAAAACCAACTTAACATCTGTCATAGTTGCGACTTAGGATAACAAATGTTTTTTTTTGCATCTCCAGATCACAATCGCACGGGTGAGCACGTCTCACCATTATAAGGTTGGGAGACTCACCCACTCAAAGAGAAGTAACAAGACTAGCAACTGAACAGAACTTTCCTCTTGTAGCATGTGTCATGTACTGCTTGCAGAGACTCTCCGACTGACTGGTTATCTTTATCAATTCTGTAGGCGTGTGTGAGCTATTTCGGGAATACGAGCCCAGTGTCGGTGAAATGATCCACGCAGCAGGAGCTCATTTCCCTTACTACCCGCTTTTTATTATGTAGAACATTTTATCATTGTTTCTTCAGTATGATAACTGCTGTTTGACACCGCAGTTCGCGCTCCAAATGTTATCTCAGGGACGCTGAATCATGAGCAAAAATCAGCTCCCAGGATGGACCAGAGCGCACCTCTTCCGCTGACCGGGCGATTACGTATGGACGGCGCACTCGCCCAGCCAGCGGAACATGTGGGATCCAGTCCGCCCGAGGTCCGACTTTTGCTCATCACTCTGCATTCTTGTGACAGCTTCCGGAGCGCCAACTGCGGCGTCTATCATGTTCATTTACAGTGTCTTTGCCTAAATGCTTGTACATTTTTGGTGGTCTGGAACAATCTGTGCCAGGCCTAAATGCTTGTAAATTTTTTGGCGGTCTGTAACAATCTGTGCCAGTCACGCATACCTAAACATTTGCCTGATCGGGTGTTACTGTAACACCTGACACAAGTAAATGAATAAGTGT